AGAGAGAGAGAGAGAGAGAGAGAGAGAGAGAGAGAGAGAGAGAGAGAGAGAGTGAATGGGGGGTAGAGAAGAGAGTGACTTGTGAACCTGTTAATAGTTAGTTCAGGGCAAAGGTGTTTGCCACAGAACTAGAGATGCCAGATTTTATGTTCCTGACACCTCTCTCTCTCTCTCTCTCTCTCAGTTTCATTTGCCTCCTGAGACTGTAAAACAGCTCACCCTTTTTCTTACATTTGACTTGATGTGATGCCTCGTGTCTTTGTCATGCACAGACCTGAAGCACAACCGGCTCCCGCAGACAACCAGGCCTCTCCATCTCATGGCTCCATGGGTGTCCTCTATGCGATTGTTGGGGACTGATCCCAGCGTGAATGGTCCTCCCACTTTGGTATGTTCGCTCAACCTTCATTGCAACTTCAATCAAGTTCAATCATCAATGTGATATATTACATGTCAGTAACTCTGTCGGGTGTGGGGTGTCCGCTGGGCAGGGGTCGTCGACCTTATGTCCCAGCGACCAGTCTTATGTCCTTAGACTCCTTACCTTATGGGAGTCTCAGTCGAGCAATCACGTCTGCATTCTCTGGTGGACGAACCTGGTTTGAATCTGCTGTAGGTCGGGTTTGTGCTAGTTTTATCTTGTCTCGTCTACAGGAATTGTCTTGTATTCGAAATATGGCTCATCTGTGGGAAAGAAGATGTCCTGTTTCTCTGTTAAAGGTCCTGTTTTTCTTCTTTTTTTCCCTCATTCCTTCGATTGCGTTGTCCCACTTGTATTTGGACTCTGGTTTCTCTTGGCGTTGATTCTCGTTTCCTCCTCTATCCCTGACTGTATCAAGGTCTTTGTTTGTCATCATTTACAATGGATTTCAGCTTCTATGAACTCTTTAGATCATCTTCTTTCCCTTTTTTTAATTTTATATGGATCATTTCTCGATTTGTGTGTGTCATCCTTGCACAGGGGCCATGCTAATCTTCTCTGTATCTTTCCAATTTGGAAATTGGAATGTCCCATAGGACAGCTCTTTAGCTCTTCAACCTTCTCGACCAGTCAATTTTTTTGGTTGTTGGCTTGTAGCAGATTCCTCGTCACCTTACCCGGTTTACCCCTCCTCCGTCCCGTTTTGCGGAATCATGCTCTGATGGATGCAAGCCACGGTGTTAGTTCGCTGCGAACTTGCCGTGGGTCGCCCCTGTGGACCTTGCATGCGAACTTGTCTCTCTTTCATCTCACTGATTAAACCCTGATCTGTTTCTGTTCTGTTCTGTTCTGTTTCTTCAACTGTCTCTGTTGGACAGGATGCTCAGAGAATTGCTGCGGACTCAAGTTGCCTGGAGACCCGAAGTGGTATCGATGCAACAAGAGCCCAGAGCACAAGGGGGATTCTTGTGGATCTTGCGTGCGATCCAGCGTTTATGTTACCTAAGTCTCTGCCTCCTGCTGCGCTTACCTCTTTCACCTCAAATGCGTCCTCCCTCTCTTCTGCTTGTGCATCTTGGCCACAATCTCATGTCATCGGTGCAGGTGGAAGTGGCTTGCAGTCCTCGCATGTGTCGGACGCATACAGCGCTCTGCCACTCCGACATAACTTTACTACCCCTCTGTCGGCATGCTTGGACTCGTCGGCGCCCTTCACATTCTCTTCTCAACTCTCTCATCCATCTCCAAGGACCCCTTCTTCAGCTCTTCCATCGCCATGCTTACCAGCTTTCTGTAACCGTTCTTCACAGTCCTTCTCTGCGACGGCTCCTGGAGCTGACATTACAGCAAGGCTTTTGTCCTCATCTACGAGCTTCCTGCAGAAGGAACACATGCCAGTGGGTCCTCCGCCTAGACCAGGCATGACCGTAGGAGAATCAATGGCAGCATCTTATCTGCTTCAGATGGCGGAACGACAAATGGTAAGTGCTGTCTCGAGTCTGCAAACCAGATATTGTCTTTAAACGACTTTGTCCGGGTTTTGTTTGCCTTATGACTCAGATCAAGTCATTGATGTGTGTGTGTGTGTGTGTGTGTGTGTGTGTGTGTGTGTGTGTGTGTGTGTGTGTGTGTGTGTGTGTGTGTGTG